CTCCTTCTCCCTCCCCTCTCTCCCTCTCGCATCTCCATCACTTCTCGTCTGGCAAAACAACCCCGCGCGCCGAGGAGAGCAACTGAAGGGTTCTCATAGATCCCAGAAAATGAAGGATAGGGGACCGGGGGCGCAGAAGGGGGGGGAAGGGAAGATCGGTGAAACGGGGAGAGGGGAGGGGGGGTAAAAAAGACAAGAATCGAGGACCGAGAAAATGGACAAAAAAACAAACGAACCGAGAGGGCAGAGGAATAAACCAGAACAAGAAGAAACGGAAGCAAGCAAAGGGGAAGAAGAGGCCGGAGAGAAGATGGAAGGGAGGATAGCAGCCAGCCGGTGGACCTTGACCGAATAAAGCTGAAGAAGCCGGCTGATAAGAGTAACCTCGACCGGTTTACACTGTATTGGAGATAAGGGGTGGGGGTGGGGGGGGGGGAGGGGGAGGAAGAAGAAAAAGAAGAAAAAAAAGAAAAAAAAGTAGAACAAGAAGGAAGAGTATGGAGGAGGCGGGAAGAAGAGAGAAGGGAAGGGAAGAGAGGAAGAGGAGGAGGAGGAGGAGGGAAGAGGAGATAGAGGAGGAGGAGGGTGGAAGGAGGAGAGGAGGAGGAGGAGGAGGGTGGAAGGAGGGAGAGGAGGAGGAAGGAGGAGAAGGAGGGAGAGGAAGAGAGGAGGGTGGAAGGGGAGAGGAGGAGGGAGGAGGTGGAAGGAGGGAGAGGAGGAGGAGGGTGGAGGAGGGAGTGGAAGGAGGGAGAGGAGGAGGAGGAGGAGGGTGGAAAGGAAGGGAGAGGAGGAGGAGGAGGAGGGTGGAAGGAGGGAGAGGAGGAGGAGGAGGAGGAGAGGAGGAGTAGGAGGAGGAGGGAGGAGGAGGAGGAGGAGGGGGAGAGGGAGGAGAGAGGAGGAGGGAGGAAGGAGGGAGAGGAGGAGGAGGAGGAGGGTGGAAGGAGGAGAGGAGGAGGAGGGGTGGAAGGAGGGAGAGGAGGGAGGAAGGTGGAAGGAGGAGAGGAGAGGAAGAAGGAGAGGAGAAGGAGGAGGAGGGAGAGGAAGGAGGAAGGAGGAGGAGGGGAATGAGGAGAGAGAGGAGAGAGGGGGAAGGAGGTGAGGAGGAGAGAGGAGGAGGCAGGAGGAGGAGCGGGGAGAAGGGAGGAGGCAGGAGAAGGGTGGAAGGAAGGGGTGAAGGAGAGGAGGAAGAGGAGGAGGGGGAAGGGAGAGAGGAGGAGGAGGGGGGAAGGAGAAGAGAGGAGAGAGGGAAGGGGGAAGGAGAGAGGAGGAAAGGAGGCAGGGGGGAGAGCAGAGAGGAGAGGAGGGGGGAAGGAGAGAGAACAGGAAGAGGGGGGAAGGAGAGAGAAGCAGGAGGAGGGGGAAGGAGGGAAGAGGAGGAGGAGGAGTAGGAGAGGAGGAGGAGGGGGAGGAGGGTGGTAAGAGTAGCAATATGCAGAAGGAAATAAGAGGGAAAAGATGAAAAGGGAGGGCAAGAGGAAGAAGACAGAGAAGGAAGGTAAAACGAAGAAGATGAAGATGGAGAAGAAAGAGGAGGAGGAGGCGGAGAAGCGAGGAAGAGGGTGATAAAACGCCGCCAGGGGGGATGGCTTGCGGGCATGTGATAAGATATGCCCGGAGATCAATCTTCTCTTTTCGAATCTTTACCAAATCTTTTTCCTTTTCCCGTTTCTTTCTCTTCCTCAACCACTCCATTTTGTTCCTGTGCGTTCGCCTTTCCGCGTCTCTCTCTTTCAGCCCTCTCTCCTCCTTCCTTCCCTCTCTTCCTTTTCAACTTCCTTTAAATTCCTGCGCCTCCCAATCTTTCCCTTTCTTCTTTCCCTCACTCTTCCCTTTCAACTCAGCACCTCCCTTCCCCTTCCCTATTTTCAACCCACCTTCTCCCTTCCTCCCTCCTTTTACCCACCACTCTCTCTCCTTTTCCCTCCCTCCCTTCTTTTATCCCGACCCCTCCTCTCCTCCCTCCCTCTCCCCCCACTCCTTCCTTCCCCTCCCTCAACTCCCCCACCACTCTCTTCCCTCCCTCCCTCCCTCCCTCCCTTCCTCTCCCTCTCCCTCTCTCCTCCTCCCTCCCTCTCTCTCTCCCTCCCTCCCTTTGCTAAACCCAAACACCAAAAGTCCGGACGAAGCTTCCCTGGGTGTGCCTTGCGTTGTCCCTGAACAGACAATTAACACTTTCTCTCCCTTGAGCCGCCGCCCGAGGAGTCAATCAGTAGGCCTAAGGTAAGGAATGAGGGAAGGGAAGGAGAAGGGAAGGAGAAGGGAGGAGAAGGAACGGAAGGAGAAGGGAAGGAGAAGGGGAGAGAAGGAAGGGAGAAAGCGAGTGGAGGAATGGAGAAGGAAAGGGGAGGAAGGAAAGGAAGGGAGGAAGGGAGGGAGAGGGGAGGAAGGGAGGAGAGGGGAGGAAGGGAGGAGAGGGGAGAAAGGGAGAAAGAGGGAGAAGGAAACGAAGAGAGGGAAGAAGAAAGAAGGGAACGAAAGGGAATGAGGAATGGTGGGGAAATAGGAAAAAAGGAAAAATGAAGAGAGAAAAAAAACTGATAAGAAAAAAAGATAAGATCAAGCATCGTAAAATACTGTGAAAGCAACAACAACAAAAAAGAAAGAAAGAGAGACAGAAAGAAGAAGAAGGAGCAAGGAGGAGACAGCAGAAAGAAAAGGAACGAAAAAAGGAGAGAAGAATAATGCGCGCCGGGTAAATGGACGAGGAAAAAATGAAGAAAAGAAAAAACAAAAAGAAAAATAAAGAAGGCGGAGAAGAGAAAGGAAATCGAGAGAAAAAAAAATAAATAAAAAGGATCGCGAGAAGGAGATTCTTAACGTCAATAGGGTTCGAGAGGTTGCATCATTATCCACAATCAAGATAAAACTTTTTTTTTCTCTCTCTCTCAAACTTATCCAATACGTTTCCTATATGTATATCGACCACTTCATCTCGTATTTAATTTCCATTTCATATTGTTATCTATAATGGCAACATCCTTCAACATCCAATCCATGTATACACGTTAATACATCTTCCCTTTTTCTCTTTCATATATCTAAAGATAAGAGTAGACAGAGTATTAAATCTGCATTGCATATCCATGGGTATTTCTGATTCCGTGTCGCGCGCGCGCGCGCGTGTGTGTGTGTGTGAATGTGTGTGAATGTGTGTGTGCATGTGTGTGTGTGCTTGTGTGTGTGCATGTGTGTGTGCTTGTGTGTGTGCATGTGTGTGCATGTACGTGTGCGTGTGCGTGTGCGTGTGCGTGTGCGTGTGCGTGTGCGTGTGCATGTGCGTGTGCGTGTGCGTGTGCGTGTGCGTGTGCGTCCGTGCGAATATGCGTGTGCGTCTTCATGTATGTATGCACATGTCCCGCGATAAGAATGTCTTCACCTCGAAAGAGCAACTAATTGGATTCAGTGCAGGTTGCAACAAGGGACGAAGGCCGTGAGCTGGCCGAGTAAACACCGTCCCAGAGGAGGTGAGGAGGGCGGCGCGCGGAGGGAAAAGTCGCGAAAGTAAAACGATTCCCGAACGGAGAAAATGGAATCAAGGGAGAGGGGGGGGGAATAATAAAAAAAACAGAAAAGGAAAGACAAAATAAGAAACAGAGAAAAACACAGCTTAAAATAAAAACGAAGGAGGGAGCCAAAACGAAGAAGGAGCCAATCCTCTCCCCCTTCCCCAAAAAAAAAATCCTCTTCCCGGGTTATTCAAAGCAACGGAGGCGACTCCAAAGGACAGGCTGCTAGTGCCACGTTGAATACGAAAAGATTAACAAAAGAGACCCCGACACAAAAGTATATACATAAAAAGAATGAAAGGGCAAACCAAGAAACAAGAAAATAAAACAAACTAATGAAAAATGGAAGAAAATCGAAAAAAGAAAAAAAGAAAGAAAATATACACATACATACAAACACACACACACACACACACGCACGCACACACACACACACACACACACACACACACAACACACACACACACAACACACACACACACACACACACACACACACACACACACACACACACACACACGCACACACACGCATCACACCACGCACACAACAGCACACACACACACACACACACACACACACACACACAAATCCCAGCATCTGTTACAAGCGCGTGCCACTTGGCTTCGCACGCAGCAATGTAAAAGCGCAAGACCGTGCTATCGCCTCCAGCTGATGACCGCTATTAGGGGCGGGAGAACACGTCTTTTTTCTACTCGTCTCTTCCTCGTCCTGTAATTTTCTCCTTCGGCCACGGCGGTAATTTCGAGACGGTGGAAGTTTGTGCTTTCCACTGTTTTATTATTAATATTTATTTTTATTATCATTATTTACTGTGGGGTCAATTGCATATCGTTCGTTTTTTTTTTTAGTTTTGGTTATTGGTTCGAGGAAGTGGAAGTTTGTGCTTTCCATTGTTTTATTTTTTATTTTTATTATCAATATTATTTACTGTGGGGTCAATTACAATATCAATTCGTTTTTCTGAAGGGGCGTCTTCGTTATATCTATATAATTTATGTGAATAAATGCACTAAATAAATGTACTAATCTAAATACGTTGGGAGTAGTATACATGTTTCTAATGCCTTCTCATCTTTCGCACAAACTCCAACCATTAAACTAAAGCAAATCTCTGTTCCTCACGAATAATAAGGAAAAGAAGAAAACAAAAGACCAGTCGTAGAATATACTAAACTAATTGAAAATACCCAGTTCTAACTCCTTCTCCTTCGCCTCCTTCAAGCATTCACCTTCTCTCCACTCCACCTTTCCTCCCTCGCACTCCCCTTCAACATTCAACCTCTTCTTTCACTCCCCGCCTCCACCCCTCTAAATATCCCCCTCCACCCACCCTCCCCTTCCCCTCATCACACCCTCTTCTCCCCCTTCACCTACCTTCAACATCTTTCCACCTCCCCTTCCGCCCCTTCAACATTCAACAATCAACCCTCCAACATCAGCATCCAACATCCCCCCACTCACTTTCTCCACCACATTCTCGGGCAGCTTCTTGCCGGGCAGGTAACTTGACGTTCTCGTGCGTGGTGTTGATAATCTCCGTCAGCTTCTTGCCGTCGACCATCTCCTCGTAGACGAACATGCGGACCTCGTTGTCGAACTGGTCGAATTTGGTGACGTTGGAGCCGATGATCTTGGCGATGGCGGAGCCCCTGGGGGTGGAGGGAGGAGGGGGTGAGTTCGAGAGTGCGGGAGGGAGGGGGGAGGGGGGAGTGGGGAGGGGAGAGGCGGTCGATTTCAGTTGCCGCTGATGGGAAGTCGATGGCGATTGTCGAGGTGATTGCCGGTGATACATTTCTCGACATGGAATGAAAAATGAGGAGAGGGAGTGGGGTGGATGCGGAGGGGGAGGAGGGGGATGAAGAGGGGAGGAGGAGAGGGGATGAGAGGGAGGAGGGAGGAGGGAGGAGGAGGGGGATGAGAGGGATGAGAGGGAGGAGAGGGATGAGAGGGAGATGAGAGGGAGGAGGAGGAGAGGAGGAATGAGGAGGGAGGAGGAGGGAGATGAGAGGGGAGGAGGAGGGAGAGGGAGATGAGAGGGAGGAGAAGGGAGGAGGGGGAGGTGGGCGCTTAATTACTGCTGCCATGATAATGACAATTATTTTGAAAGTGATTAAGGGTGATAAAGAATAATAAGAATGGATGTTTTATTTTTCTAGGATGAAAAGTGTGCTTAACTGCTGTTATATGCCAATATAATCTTAAAGGATACAACGCATACGTTACTACCAGCAGTAGATGATACGCGAAGGGAAAGGCGTTATCTGCCTGCCTCAAAAATGGCTGTAAAGGTAATTTAAAACGAAATAATAACGATTTATTATCACCAGAAAAAAAAACAAAAAAACGAAACAAAAATACATGCGTGTGTATTTTCATGACATACGTAAATTCCTGACGATGTTATGATTGCGACAACAGCAAAAATCCACACTCAAATAATAGTACGATGCCAAAAAAGTCCTAAACGTAATCATAATCTCCAGGTAATCTGTGATTTCCATTTTCACTATTCACGAAATACGAACCGTAAAATTGAAAACAAAAATGATGAATGTGCCGACAAGAAACACACACAAAAAAGGCCTAATACTGATCCTCACCATCATCAGTTACAAAGATATTCACCATTATTAATCGTCCAGCATTAACCCACCAACGCCTTCATCAGCAAGGAAAATTCTGACGTCGCAGATTGCCCAACGCATAACAACTCCCCGCAGGGAGATGGGGAGAGCAAGGAGGAGCAGGGAGAGAGAAAGGAGGGAGAGAAGAGCGAGAGAGAGAGAGAGAGAGAGAGAGAGGGAGAGAGAGAGAGAGAGAGAGAGAGAGAGAGAGAGAGAAGAGAGAGAGAGAGAGAGAGAGAGAGAGAGAGAGAGAGAGAGAGAGAGAAGAGAGAGAGAGAGAGAGAGAAGAAAGAGAGAGAAAGAAAGAGAGAGAAAGAGAGAGAAAGAGAAAGAGAGAGAAAGGAAGAGAGAGAAAGTTAAGAAAGAGAGGAGAAAGAGAGAGGAGAGAAAGGGAGACAAGAGAGAAAGAGAGAGAGAGAGGAAAGCAGAAAGAGAGAGAGAAAAGGGGAGAGCGAGAGAGAGAGAAAGAGAGAGAGAAGAGAGAAAAAGAAAAGGAAAAAAGAAAGAGGAGAAAGAAAGAGAGAGAGAGGAGAGAAAGAGAGAAAGAAAAGAGAGAAAGAGAGAGAGAAAGAGAGAAGAAAGAGAAAGAAAGAGAAAAAGAAAAGAAAAGAGAAAGGAAAGAAAGAGAGAAGAAGAAAGAAAGCGGGATAGAAAAAAATGAAAGAAAGACAGAAAGAGAGAAAGAGAAGAAGAAAGAAAAGAGAGATAGTGAGAAAAAAGAAAAGAAAAAAAAAAAATAAATAAAAAGAGAGATAGAAAGAGAAAAAGAAAGAAAGAAAGAAAGAAAAAAACAGCCTCGCCTATTTGGAGCAGCAAACAGGTTTCCCATAGCAACCAATACCTGCCTAACAGCTGTGAACTGGTTATAACACCGACGAATCTCATATAAAAAACTATTCGTCATTATTGCTGTTGACATGAATATTATCATTCCTATCATTATAATCATCAATATTGGGATTATTACCATTATCATCATCATTACTATCATCATCATTATTTGTAGTATAATCATTATTAATATTACAATCATTATGATAATTACTTGCATTATCATTGCCATTGCTACCATTATCATCATCATTGTTAGTAGCTTTTTCATTATCGCTATTCTTCTTCATATCATTAATACCACTAATATTATTAATTAAAATAATAAGAATAAAATCAAATCCTGTGGCGTGGCTCTTTCATCAAGCGGTGCTTCGGTGTGCAGGGAATATGCAATTACATGCCTTATTGGAAGGAAAATCTCATTAGCATGATAATAATAATGATTAACGGATAATGACCATGCATGAGCGACTTGCAAAGAGGTCATCACACTTGCTGGGTTCCTTCCTGCCTGGTGGACGGGGATGTCTGCAGGGTCGAAGGATTTAGTAGAGGACAACTGGTTCTCTCTCTCTCTAGCTCGCTCTCTCTTCTTTATTTCTTCTTTCTTTCTTTCTCTCTCTCTCTCTCTCAGTTTCCCTTGAGGACAACTGGTTTTCTCTCTCTCTCTCTCTGTCCTTTCTTCTTTCTTTCTTTCTCTCTCTCTCAGTTCCCCTAGAGGACGACTGGTTCTCTCTCTCTCTCTCTTTCTTTCTTTATCCCTCTCTCTCATTCTCAGTTCCTCTCTCTCTCTCAGTTCCCCTATCCTCTGTTCTCCCTTAAAGATTAGGGGAAGATAATCAAACAATTAATCGTGAGTGTCGGAGATACGAATGACGGAAGATATGAAATTACATTAAAGGAGGAATAACCGGATACGAAATCAGGGCTCAGCCAAGGCGGACTTCAAACTGACACTTGGACATCTTGCGAAAGGTTACAAATATAACTCAAGGAAGTGCAAAAGTCACTCGCCTCAGCGAAATGACATTCAACTCGATCGAACTCTCATTATGATGCGACTTACGATTCCGCGACAAAGAAATTGAATACGCAAATGCGACATTACTTATCCGAGATTCACGCGGTGCTTTCACTTCCTCACATCCCCGTCGAGTAAGCTCTTCAAAAAAATCTATCGGCGAGACATTCCATCACGATCGCCCCTTTTTTATGCAGTCACACCTTAGGCCAAGCTCTATGGCATACCTCGGGCCACACACAAACCCCGCCCACAGTGCATAGCAAACCCCTTGAAAGGAACAGAACGGCGTGTCCCCCTCTCCGTCGTGAACAAGGATACATACAAGCACCGACATCCTTCAAGCCCCCAGCGTCTGCACAAGCAAACAAGGAGAGCCAGAACCACAAGCCTAATAGAGAGAGATTCGGGCAAAAAGTTCTCTGGTGAGGGTACGCTACCCTCGGCCGCGGCCTTCACTCCCCAGCTAACGTTTGCTCACACCCACTGGGCAGCCAATCAGGGGAAGGGGTGTAGGCGCTCCCGACCACTCACAGAAGCCGACATCGCAGCCTCATGGCGGTGGGGGTAGGGAAAGGGGGGCTCGTCGCGGTACAAAGAGGCAGGCAAGCAACTGTTACCACTTATCACATCAGATCGCTGGATATCTAAACAAAAGTCTTCGGCCAAAAGACTTATCTCCTTTGATATGCATTAAAACTTCAAGACGAATGTGACTTGGCACTTTCTAAATGCCACACGCTGGGTAGCGCCCTTCCCTGATCAGATCTGGTGGAGTGACAGTGCAAGAATACGTTTACACAACCTTGAGGATGGAGGCGGCCTTTTGACAACACGGCGAGCATTGACCTTCCCACCCGATAAACATATTCCTCCTGGGACACATGCCTTCTGTTTCCCTTTCATGCCATCCCCTCTCTTTCTTTCTTTTCTCTTGGTCCCTCTTATAATTTCTTTCTCTTTAACTAACTGTTATTCTCTCTCGTTCTTTCTTATTGCCTTTCTCTTCCCTTTTTATTGCCTTTTCTTTTATTCTAATTTGCTCTCTCTCTCTCTTATCTTCTCTCCCTCTCATCTTCTTTTTTCTCTCTCATTTTACTCCTTTCTCTCTCTCTCTTCCTGCTACAACTTATTTTCTACGCCCCCCCTCTATTCCCCTGCCCCCAACCCCCTCGTTCGCTCTCCCCCGGCAACACCTCGACGAGAGCCACAAGGCCTTATACCTTATACTTTCTAGTGGGTCGACCTCTTCCCTTGCTTCCTAGTCCCTTCCTTTGAAGACATTCGCCCTTCTATCCCCGTACGCTCTTGTTCTTTTTCTCTCCTTTCTCTTATTAGTCTCTTAAAATCCGTTCTGGCTCTCCACGTTACCTTCATTAATCTTATTAATTTCTGTGAGGATATTTTATCGAAAGTGTCAGTTCCTTGTCCTCTCCCTTCTTTCTCGCCTCGTCCATCACCCGTTCCCTTTCCGTTCTCTTCCTTCCCTTCCTCTTCCTTTGCTCTCCTCTTCCCCTTCCCGCCTCTTCCTTTCCTCTCCTCTTCCCTTCCTCTCTTGCATATCTCGCTCACGCATTCAATCGTATATGATTAGGATAAGATTGAAATAACGTTTGCGTCCTTTCAAACAATTAACCTGCAATCTATCGATAACAGAAAATTAGGTATGCACGCGACGCCATCCACAGACTATAAAAGGGCACCTCAACAAAATTAAGTCTAAATTAACCATTTCCAATACCTAATCGTCTGCACTAATCTCAATCTGACGAGACTGTGGTTGTAGTGTTTTTTTGTTGATAAACATGAATGTCACCACATTCTTGTTTTGATTACGGAAAGAAAGGTAAATGTGATAGACTGATTAGCAGCCTCCCTCTATTTTTATTAGACATGAAGAATGGGGTTCATATATCTTTTTAAATCTTACCACTCATTTCATCAATCAAATCAGACGAGAAAAAAACGTATACGCGACTTAGTAAAAGGAAAGTGCTCGACCAAGTTCTGGAGAGTGTGCAGCCTCCATTAACCAAATTATCAAACGCCACAGTTTTACATACGAGGAAAATGCCTTTACATGGACCCGCGAGCCAAGTCACGACCGGCCATGAGTTTTCAATGAGGCGCTCACCTTTAAGAATTTCAAACAGAAACCGTGGTAACTCTTCCACACTCCAGAGAAAAAGAAAAAAAAAAAAAAAACTGGGTGCTAGTGTACAGCGATCAAATTCCCCCGTGCACATTACAGCATATCCCCAAAATTAATACAAATCAGGTACGTAATTATTGTTATTTAGAGACTAGTCATCCAATCCTCGTTCGTCTGGTACTATGCACAGCGCTTAGACCTATCGAGAAGAGAATTCCACCGATTTAGCATTGTCCTGCACATTATCTAAGTGCCATTAGGCCTAATATTACCATGGGCTACGTGGTATCCTGACAGGTGTGAAAGACCATACCGCAGTATGCTATAGACCTATTATGTGACGTGGCAGTTAATGATCGTAAGTCGGTTAGTTAAAGGTAATGGAAAGGTTTAATATCCATTTGTAACAAGGAAAGAGTAAGGTTTTTTAAGTACAGCGGAATAACGTGTAAATGACACCTACGGTTAGTGAGACACTCCATAGCAGTCTGAGTCATATGTATTGATGAACCGCTCACACGAAATTGCTTAGCAACAACGAGATCATAAGGTTATTACATGAAATTCTACTTGACCATTTTGTTTGTACTAAGTCAGAGATATATCAACTTACATATGAAATGCATGAATACATTTGTCAAGATCTGCAAACCATGCAACGTTATTTTAATCTTTCTACAACAGTAAGAAACCTTTGAATCTATTCGAATTAATATTCCAATATTTCAGATATACCCAATAACTTACCAGTTTCCTGAGCCAACGATGCAGATTTTCTTAGGTTCACCCATGTTGGCTAGAAGCGAGGTTGCACGAGTGAAAAAGATCGGCAGCGAAGCGAAACGTCTTCCCTTTACACTGGCTAGGCTAAGACTGACCTTCGTGAGAGAGATTCCTGCTTTATACAAGCGAGATCCGCTGAACTGGAGCATTTAGCGAGATTTACGGGACACTAGCAAACTCAAAAAATCCTCACTTCGAATTATAATAAGAGTGATATGGAATTAAGTGTCATAACATGCTTCAAAAGGGAGAGAGAGTGGAAGAGATCGCGAAAAAATTTGCTACGGGATGAGCTCAAGCAGACGACAGATTTAGCGGAACTTCCCCATTCGGTTTCTATTTGTTTATTGCTGAATTACAGGGCCATTGTTTTGTTTTTTCGTCATTCAGTGCCTTTTACAAATACTAAATATTTATTCATTCGAGTGTTTCATCCGTTGATACGGTATTCATGGAGGTTTTATTAATTTGATTAAGTGGTAACCGTTTGTTTAGGGTGTGTACGAAGGGCAAAAATATTAATCTTTCTCAGAGAAAAATAAAACGATGGGACTCTGTAATTACATTGAAGGATCACCTGGCGGTGTCATTGTAAATTGATGCGATTTCTGAATCAAACATGAAATTATTATTTATGTAATAACAAGAATGTTTCATTTATATAAAATTGCCGTCTTTGAATATGCATGTGCCTATAGAATTTAAAATCATTTAATGAAATGATAACAATGTATTATGTAACTGTTGTCTTTCATATCATGATATCATAATTTTGTAAAAACAAAATGTTCATTATAAGTGCAGATAATGTTTTCAAATTCCTCGAAGAATTTTCGTGATATAAACGCCCTAAACAATATTTCTTTTAGGATTTTGAATCATCTGGTAAAATGAGCAGAAATACACATCATATTATATAATTAGTTTTATTAATTAGAAACAATGACAAGTTGTATGTTATCTGAAATAAAATCCAAGACACCGATTTCATGCCCTAAATCTTCTCATTAGTAACATAATTGTATATCCTAAAAGAAAGTTTTCGCAACGTAAACATCAAGAGTGGCAAAGAAAAACTTCAAAAGATAAGGCACGATGCAGCAATAACAAAAAAAGCATTATAAGAAAATGGCAAGAACGGTAAATATATGCACATTGTCACCATTGATTTATATAGATGATGTATTAAGAGTGTACTCAATAGCGATGTTTATGTGTGTCAATTAGATATATCCCGCGAAAAATGCAGGGCAAACAAGTTAGTTTTTATTTTTTCGTTTTTAGTTTGTTTCAGAATATCTGTGATTACTTATATAGGCTTGCATAACCATTGGTAAATTTGGAAATGCAACCGCACACCATTTATGGGGTGAATAGAATTATTTCCCCATAGCTTTTGTGGTATACCGAACAAATCTAGCAGTCATTTCCTTCGCAAACGAAGCATAACTACGATATCTGTCCTGATACCTGGGGAGGGTATGATAGGCCTACATACTAGGGAATTTCGAGAAATATCGGTAGAATACTAGCATAGTATATTAACACATTTCAGGGTTGTATAGGGGGCTCCACCCCCTTAAACTCCCTTTCAGAGGGGGCTGCCACCCTCTCTACCCCCTGCCTGGTCTACAAAATCTTCACCTCATAGGTTCCGGCAGGTTAAAGCCCGGGCAAACCAGATATCTGACATGTTTTCAGTAGATATAGGGGGCTTCGCCCCCTTATACTCACTTTTAGGGGGGGCTGCCGTCCCCCACCCCGCCTGATCTGCAAAATCTTTACTTTGTATGTTCCGGCTGGAGAGAGTCCATACCCATGAACAGTTTTAACCTCATCTTACTTGAAGCATCAACTCCAGACAGGCCAGGATGCGGGTCACTGGGATTGTCAGTGTATTCCAGGTTGTTGTTGGCAGGAATTGCGATAGCTTACAGTAAAGTTACACTGCATTTTTCGTTTTGTTTTTTAATCCTTTTCCATGCACCACAAACCCACTGGTGTCTGTCATTTCTGTAATGACACGATGTCTTACAGTATTGTACTTCCACTGGCAGTACACCGTGATGTAGATTTGAAAGCATGCTATGTTATTTTGTGGATATATCGCGATGAAATCGAAATAAGCATTCTCATAACCTACACACTGTCTAGCCATGATGGAACTGATTTGAATTTCAAAAGGCCCAGTTTCTATTGTCACGTGATGATCAATTCTAGGTATCATTGGTTCTATTGTGTGTCTATGTTCATGTCACGTTCACGCACAAATCTAATTGGCCCATTTAATTTCTATCGCATACGTCATCCGCTACAAATCCTTCCGATTTCCCGTTGCTCTTAATGACTGGAGGCTTAAGGTTACTGCGGCTCCTGGAAATCGTGGGTTTTATACCCTCTATAACACCGTTATTATCAATTTGCACAGAAAATGGTATAGAAGAAAACTCTCTTGGAATGATGTGTTCTACCACATGGTAAGCTCAGATTCTGATGTGTTCTACCACATGGTAAGCTCAGATTCTGATGTTGCTCACTGGTAAGCTCAGATTCTTTAAATTAGATATGGGGTTGGATTTCCAACAATACCCCATTTTACATGTTTTTGTTTTTGTAATGTAAAGTTTACAAGTATCTTTGAGGGGTGAGGGTATATACCATTTTGATCGGGATGATTTTGATATTGATGGATGCCTCTTACCCACTAGTACACATTGAAAATTTTAAGTGGACAGCAGGGGAGGTATGGAAGGTACCAGCGAATATTGTAGGTAAAATATGACTAATGTATACAGAATCAGTCACTTTATTGTCTAATGTAGGGGGCTGCCTCCCAACTCTCACCCAGGAAACAAAGAGAAATTGTTAACAAGAGCTACACATCCTCTTGAGACTAAGTCCCAAAACCAGAGTATCATTTGAAACCCAGAAACCCAACCTAACCTTTCCTACCCATTATTTATTCCCTAGTCTTTGAGCTGTGATATGCAGCAGATATTTTTGCCATTTTGTAGTAAATATGAGGCCATTGCAGCTGTACCTATGTTGTTTTTGACTATATTTCTTGTGCTCTATAAGATGGTGGTGTCCATTTCCCCCTATATCTGTGCATCACTTTTGGTAACTTATACCAACCGAAAAATTCAACAGATATTCATGGCAGGATAGGGTGTTAGATAGACTTGGTATTGAATGCTCCCACACACTGGTTGTGCGTTCTACCCTGCCAATCTTTGTTTTCCTGGGCTGGGGTTGAAGCAGCAACGCCTGATGGAGGGGTCAGAGGGGGCACAGGTCCTTGCATTAGACAATATAGTCACTGATTCTGTATAAATTATTCATATTTTAACCTGCAATTTCTCTGGTACCTTTCATACCCACCCCTGCAATCTGGGCCAAGATTGTTGCTAATAGAAGGGATTTCCGTAGCATAATTTAGATGTATTTGGATAGTAGAGAGTGAGAGTTGCAATCTGGGCCAAGATTGTTGCTAATAGAAGGGATTTCCATGGCATAATTTAGATGTATTTGGATACTAGAGAGTGAGAGGAATGCATCTGCACCAAAATTACTGTGATTGGTTATTTGAAGGTATTCTGTAAAATTGCCATTTTCCTTTATCTTTGATGTGAGTGATGCTGATTCTTAATTTTGATTTTTGTAATGCATTATGGTTAATACATAATGATAAGTGACAGAGAAAGAATGTGCAAATCAGTTTATATTATTTTAAAATGTTTAAGGAAGAGAGCATTACCTAGAATGTAGCAAAGGTGGTGAAACTGGATTATGGTCCTAGAGCTTTTAAAGAGAGAGTGTCTGTTATTCTTCTCTCCTGTGATTCACATGACAAAATTATTTTGTTTGTTGATGGCATATAATTGAACTGTTCAACATTAGATAGGCCGACAATAGTTCACTGTTCTTGATACTTCCATACAAAAGCTGCACATTACTTATTCTAATGAATTTAGTTCAATCAGTAAAATTTGATGTATACTGTCCTGATATAGATATGGAGTATTGGGGGATCACAGATATTGATATGAAGTATGAGAGGACCATCTGTTTTTTTAAGTTGATTTTCAACTTAAGAAAAGGTGGAACAAAACAATTTTTGTAACTATTCTTTGAGGACACCAGTAGACCTAGAGTCTCAAGCATTGGCATTGAAGAGTAAGAAAGTAATATTGGGAATGGTAGATAGGGATTTTTGCATTATAACCCTTATTTTATTTTAATTCCACAGTGGCAAAATTAGCTGACTGAATAAAATGAAGAATCAAAAGATTAATTATTTTATTTTCTTAAAAAGTCATGATTTAAAAAAAGATAAAAGCCAAATGGAAATAGTTACAATTTCCAATTCCAAAATTCACCTCTGATTTAAAGAGACAAAAATCATCTCTACTGTCTGTAATTTCTCAGAAAAATCATCACTCATTTTTTTCTTGTGTTTTGACTAAATTGCTTTTCAGAAAATTAAATTACAATTTAAAAATGCCTGTATTTCCATCACTGTTCATTTTCATTAAAAGGTATAGCCAGCTGAGATATTTTACGTCTGAACGCTATACTGAATACAATTTTTGTACGAAGTAGACTCCTCAAACTGATACCCTTTTATTCTCAACTAGGCTTATATGAGAACTTGAGTCCCAAGTACTGACCCATTAGTCTTGGAATAAACAAGAATGTGAATTTGATCCATTAGTCTTCAAATTATTGCAAGGAATACAGACAAAACAGATATATGTAAAATCATTGGATGCACTCACTGTATTACAGTACAATAGTTATAATACAATATAATAACCATTTTTTAAGCATACAAAAAATCATGATTTTGATGGGCTAACCCCTCTAATTTTGAGTAGGGGGTTAGCAACCTATGGGGAGCTTTCTGAGGGCAGAGAGTTGCAAATTCTGCAAAGAACGTCTAAATATAACACTTCGAACAAGAACAAAACTGCCTTATTTAAACAAAGATGTATAAAATCATAGTCTATAAACATGCCTTACGTATATCAGTTGTAATGTAAGATATCAGCCATTTTCAAAACAAACCAAAAATTCAAAGATTCCTGTGGGGTAAATTTGGTGGGATAATTTTCCCTCAATAATCCTTGAGGGGAAGTTATTAAGCTATGTAGAGGTTGTAAAAGACTAAAAGTTGCAAAAACTGCAAGCAACATTTACGGCTAATCCTTCTGGGAAAGGTTGTAGATCATTCTTTTCAAATATTCTGAAATAATTTTTTTCTTTATCAAAGCCATCCCAGGATTTCCTATATTTCTGTGTATCAATCTCCTTTTCTCTAGTTCAGGTTTTGACAAAAAAACATACTTTAACCTTAGCAGTGATCTTTAGCATAATAGATGTCCAGTTCCAATATTATTTCTAGGCTTGCTATTGTAAGTATTGTAATAGTTATTTTGTCCTCTAATATATAGAGGAAGGGGAAGAGAAAAAAAAAAGAAAAGAGGGAAAAACTTGACGAATACAAATAGTGATTGAATGACAGAATCAGCATGTATCTTTTTTTTTAACTTCTTATTTAAACTATCTCTTGTTTTCCAGGATATTGAAGTGATACAGATGGAAGTACCAAGGGATGATGGCCATCAAGTGTACGTTCCATCTATCATCTGGAACAAGTTGCAGGAAGAGTTAGAGGTATGTGTTTGCTAATGATTTCTTACTTCTGATCAGTGAACTATGTGTCCATGGCTTATATTTGATATTTTATACAAGAAGGTATGAAAACTTTTGTGTCATAGATTTTTAAACTTTTACTCTCACTACTGTATATTCAGTCTTGAAATGTATAGTATTAAATGGTGTTTTATACTCCAACCTAGTTCTTACTATATTTAAAGTTGTACAACCAGTTCTCACATTTAGTAAAAACAGTTTCCACTCTAATTATTACTTTTATTAAGTTTGAATGTTTTTTTCTATTAGGTTGGTGTATATGAGTAGCACTATGTAGGTGATAAAAGATTACTGTAAAGTAATGAAAAAATCTTAAATGGTAAGAATAATTCCCAAAACAGCTCTGTTTAGGTTTTGCTGTGAACACCAATTGATTTTAAATAGAAACTATAAACTTGATAATTATCCCAAGATTTTTCTCCTCAGCATGAACTTGACCAAAGATTTTCAACATTTGGCCTTGTCTACCGAATTTCAGTTTTCAAGAGCAATTTTTCTACAGAAGAAGTTGTGTAAGTTGACTCTATAGTTGGGAAGAAAAGAATAAGGTTGGAATTGAACTTTAAGATTTAATTTAACTGGTAGTTATACAAAATGTCAAATACATGAAGTGATAAAGATTTTAGTGAATACAGTGACAGCTTTTAGGAGATTTTTGACATTAGCTAAAATTAAGTTTTGATTATATCATATTGAAGAGGCAAATGGATGTGATGTTAAATTTAATTTTACCTTGCATTTCAGTGGCATGGAGTGGTATGCCTATGTAATTTTCTATTCTGTCAGTGGAGCCAAAAATGCCTTAAAACAGAGTGGCAAAATAAAGGTAGGAGAGACAGAAATACAGATCAGAAAAAAACACCATTACAGACCTCACACCAAGCGAGAGCTGCCTCTCTACAAAGCCCAAGAATTGCTCACTTTTTACTTTGGCTTCAATTGTTGGTCTTCTGAAGTGGTGTATGTAAGTATGGATTTTCTGGGTCGATCTTCTGTCAGTTTATCTATGTCTTATCTGTTTTTTCATCTATCTATCTATCTATCTATATCGGGTCATTTAACATAGGAGACAATGTCTATAATTCTCCACATCTTATTCTATGTTGGGTATGAAATGGATATATATGTAAATATATATATGTATATATATATATATATATATATATATATATATATATATATATATATATATATATATATATATATATATATATATATATATATATATATATATATATATATATATATATATATATATATTTTATATATTTTATATATTTTATATTTTATATTTATATTTATATTTTATATATTTTTAATATATTGAACTGTTACATATGGAAGTACCAAGGGATGATTATATATATATATATATATATATATATATATATATATATATATATATATATATATATATATATATATGTATGTATGTATGTATTATATATATATATATATATATATATATATATATATTATATATATATATATATATATATAATATATATATATTATATTATATATATATATTTATACTTTTTATATTTTATTTTATATATTCTTATTTGAATTAATACATATGGAAGTGCCAAGGGATGACAGAGAGAGAGAGAATAAAACATATATACATATGAATATTAAAATCGCAAAAATAAGGCAGTAAAGACGAATATGTGAATCATGATATCACTGGTATAGTAAAGGTAGAGGTATGGGTTGTTTTGTTAGGAAGGGTTTACAAGCAGTGTATTATGAGGATTCCTATCTTATAAAAGTGTATTAATTCCCATTAAAAAAAGAACTAGAAACACTCAGAGAGTGTACACCTTAGTAAAGGCAATGAAAATGTTCACACTTGAAATATTACATGAAAATCACTTTTTTAGCAAAGATAATAAAGGTAATAATAATGATAATAGTTACTGATGTAATCATTAAAAAAATTCCTGAATCCTGATCCTGATCTAGATGACCACCAAAATTTAATGACTTTTAAGTTAGGCTAAGACACACCTTTGGTAAAAAAATCATAAAAATCTGTTCATAACTTTCTGAGTTATCTGCTAACCAACCAAGTAACAAGTAGACCAATGCTACCTGAAACATAACCTCCTAAGTTATGTAAAAGAGAACGAAAAGAAGAGACATTAGGCAAATGGACAAACAGACAGGCATACAAAGAGAGCTGATGTGTATGCATATTTTTGTGTATTTTTCATGAAAAAAGAAACTAAATTAGATAGGGGTAATGGCAAAAAGTATCCATTTTTCAAGGCCAGCCTTAGTTGAAGCTAAGGCTAGATGACCAAAATCTCAAGATAAACAAATCCATTATATTCCTTTTATTTTCTCCTAGATGGAAAGAGAACCAGAGGGAGAGTCACCCGATCACTTTAGATATGCATGTATGGTGCGAGTCAAGATGCCAAAAGAGAATCTTTGTAGTGAAGGGCTGGGCGTCGCAGAAGTACCCTTCTCTCCCACTGCTCCTTCATCTAGAGGGATTGCTCATATGACTGCCAGACGGTAAGTGGTTCTGTATTTCACATTCTTTTATTCTTTAGATTGTATCACTTATGCCATTCTAAAAGATCTGCATTAAGATCTAATGAGGGAAAATGGAATGTATTTCATATTTTCCTTTAAATTACATTAGGTGACCTTAGATAAAGGAAATTGTGCCACTGGCTTATGAATTCAAAGAACAAGAAACTATATATGAATAATTATATTTGTGAGAGCAGTATTACATGTTTTAGCAATAGTTCTTAGTATCTCAGGTACTCATTATTTTCCATATTTTTATAGTGTTAGAAAATATGTAGAAAAAATATGATTTATGGTTGCCCTTATATTGGCAAACACTGATGTTTCATTTATCTATACAAGTACATGATATGCAGTGTGCATCTTTTCCCAGTTCCACCCTGACTATTTAATTGATCACATTAGCACTTTTTTGTAGTGCTCAATTTCTAACCCTTGTCTAGCACTATCTCAGTATCTCTCATGTTTATTTCATCTCCACTTTTATTATGTAAAGATAAAACATTGGAGGATCAGGCTTTTCTAAGGAAGCTAGGGATCTTTTTAAAACAGTGCACCAAATTAGAAAAAAGAGGCATTTGTAGACATATTGGTTTTATGCTGTTAGTTAGATCCAAGAGGTGTGTATCAGTCTGGATATATCAAAACTAATATTGGAAACACCCCTTTTAAAGAAGGATATGGGAACAATATGAGAGCATAAGTTGCAGATTAGGAGAGAATAACAACTTTGTGTTTAGATAATAGAACTGTCAATGAGAAATTAAATGCTTAAGAATTTATAAGCATTTCTGGTATCTACAAATTCAGTCAATATTAAGATATTATAATCAACAGTAAAGCAGTAATTGTGTTATACTTATTATATTGTTGATTATTTATAATGCATGTGTGAGAAATTAAATGTTTGATTATAATGGAAATCAGCTGATAATTCTTATTCTCAAGAGAATTTGTTACTATCTGATGAGATTTGTATTTTTAATAGTTTACTGTAGTATAATCTTTAGCTGTCATTGTTTTTTTTTTCAGATTTGCCTACCAGTCTGCAATGAAGACAGCCTTTTCCAAGTTCGTTATCATTATACTAGGAAATGGTAAAATTACTGTTGAGGTAGACACAACACAGGAAGATATTTATGTCTATGACCCTGCATGGGATAATCCTGTTGTAAAGGTAAACTTGTACTGTTATTTTAAGAAAAAAAAATTCACCCATGCCTTTTTCACATGCAAAGTAGTAACTGTATCTACCATGTAACCATGTTATAGCAAACTAATGAATGGTATGTACATTTTGGTTATGGTAGGTTCAGCCTGAAAATATTTCCTTTTTGCCTGTTTTTAACCCATTGTTGCTGGGTACATACACTGTCTACTGCAGTTCTGTTTTGTTAATTTTAATTGAATTTAAATGGCTTCATACACACTTAGTCACCAAGGAGTTGATTACAAGTTATCATTTATTTACCACATTCCTTGACTTTATTTAAGTGTTTATTCTCAATAAGTACTAATAGATTTGTTATTTAAACATTATTATTGTTACATTATTGCTATTATAACAATATTGGCAACAAAATAGTAATCAAACTAAAGGAAAGGGTTAAACAGCTGAGATCACACATGCACTCACTGAGTTAATCTTTACTTCTTCATTTGCAGTAGTACAATCACACTCCATTTTTTCCTTTCATACCTTGTGCTTAGCATCTCTGCTCTGTTTTTCTTTTGTGTGTGTTATATGACCCTTAGATTTTTTTTCTTAATCTTTTTATCCTTTAAACATCATATACTAATTTCATGTGAATCACTGTACAAATATTTGTATGTATATGTAGTTAGCTAGATAGATAGAGGGATAGATATGCATATGTATATTTATACGTATACATCTGTCTATCTATAAATTAAAAGTGTACTTGTGAAGGTTTATATTCACTTAAAATGGACTGAAATGGAGGTATAAGGTCTGCTATAGATTATAAAAATTTTGACTGAAATTCAATCTTGACTCACATTCAGCACCAACACAGACTCACAGAGCCATGAATGATTCCCTTTGCGTGTATTTCAGGTCAATGAAATCAACTATGATCCAGAAGCTGAGGAAGAGTGCGAAGACTTAGATGACATTACTGAAGAGGAATTGAATGCTCTCCTTGATGCTCCCTTGTTATAATTTTATTCTGAATATGTTAAGGGCTTTTAATTTCAAAATCTTTTTCGTTCTTTTACATTTTTTAAAAGTGATTATTTTGATTAATTTTATTATTTGCCACTTTTAAGTTTCTCTGACAGCCTAATGGGGAAAAATCTGTAAAGAGATGAGTGATTTCATAAAGAATATGTCTAAGCTAGGAATTGTAAAGTACAAACTATTACACCTGGTACAAATATTTTTCTTTTCATTTCACTGTGCAGTTTCCAAGCTAGATGTTAATTTTTAAATTATTTTTGGATTGGTGGCAATGAATATGAATGAATATTCCCTTGTATACCTTTTACTGTAGTTTGGAGTGTGTTTGATATTTATTATACTTGTATATATTTTAATAAAGAAATATTTTACTCA